AAATAAACAAATCCCGTTTCGACTGTCCTTCAATTGGAGAAAACTCTCCACGCGCCCCGCGGGAGCGGTAAAAAGGAGGTGCGACATTGGAGTTATAAGTTTCCACTTTCTTATCGTGTTCCTCGATCTTCTTTTCCCCTGTCTCAATTCGCTTTGTCAGTTCTTCGAGCATCTTTATGATAACAGGATTAGTTTTCGATTCTCCTCCATTTGGTCTTTTTGGCACCGATTCGGCTCTATGAACAACTTCTTGCGATGGCTCGAGCTCGATCCTACTTGGTGCTCGATTCTAGTTTTGGAGTTGTGCTATTGCAGCTTGTTGAGTCTACAACATTTGAATATCATTCGAAGGCTAATCCCGTCTTTTTCACCGCTCTGTTCGTTTTGATCGGTTGTTCGAGCATATCTGCGAACGCTATTTTCAGGATCCACACCCAAATTCCCATTAATGACAATATGGGTGCTGACGTCGATTGGGTCCACGGCCGGAGCTCCATCGGGGTTGATTGGAGGTACTTCGTTTCCTGGGGCGGCTATGTTTTCGCTCTCGCCATGAAGGCCAATGCCATTATCTATGTGTGTGGATACTACTTAGGAGTTTGATATGTTGATCCTGGAATCAAAGACCCTTCAAAGAACAACCGAAAAATAGTATGTGTGATAAAAGTTGTACCGGGAAATCACTATTATCCTTAGCCTCACGGTGGGCGCCAAACTGTTTACCCTTAAAATAGGATAACAATTAAACTTACAAGCGATTTTAAAGATACATAATTTCACCTAGTACCAGTTGATAAATACGATGATTAATAATAGAAAATAACAGTATAGTAAAGCAAACCAGTATTGAAATGCAATTCAGCCCTCGAGCTAGATCGTCATCGAACCGACTAAGAATAGGGTTATGGAATATGAAATAAACTGATGAACAAGAGAGTATAAGAGAGAAAAAGTATTGTATTACTTTGGTATGCGAGAATAAGATGGTTACAAATGATTAGAACCCCCTTTTATATAGTAGAGGAATTCCACTTAGGGTACAATTCTAATTACAAAAGGGGATCCTATGATTAGCTAAACATAACCATTCTTGATTTGATTCGTTCCGAGATTATCGCCATGATCCTCGACCAGTCACGGATATCTCGCCTTTCCTTTATTATGCTATCTTCGATCTTGCCCGATGTCTATCCCGTTTAGTCTCGATTATTACTGGTCTCGATCTCGACAGGTACTCCGAATCCCGAACTCAGTACCTTATCCTCATGTCTCGGTCTGATATACTACAAGGCCAATCCTCGATCCATCCCCCTGGTCTCGATTAATCAGTAAAATCGGATAGACCTGATTTTAACCATCTACAGCTTCTTAGTGGTAAGAACTTACTCCATTAGATTTTTATACCAAATTATGCACGAGTTCGCACATATATTTAATCGTAGGTTATTAGTAAATTTTTTTTGCTTCATCAAATCACTTAGTAATGTTGAGAATAGAAAATCATTTAACCATTATAAGTTGGTATGACTTAACGTAACATGGGTGTGACTTATCATGGGCATACAAAATGATCGGTAAATACAATTCGACTATGGTAAAATATACTTATTCTCCTATTTGATTTTTACATCAAAATCAAATAATTTAACTTTAAGAGCCATAAATTAAAGTGAGAATAAATATTATTTTAATTTTTATTAAATAAGAAATGTGTGTATGAAAAATATATACCGTACAATCATTATTCGTGTAAAAATCGAACACTACTAAAACCTGGGCAAAAATCGACCGCCAAAACTAACCGATATTAGTTGGTAATTGACAAAAATCGAATAAAAATCGATTGATTCATGGCAGTCGGTGATCACGGTCAGTAGAGCCAACTGACCGGCTCCGATCGGTTGTGACTGATCAATTTTGGTTGGTCAATTAAATTCCACAACTAATCAAAAAAACTATCGGAAACTTTAATCGACCGAAATCTATCGAATAGCTTTCTTTTATTTTATTTATATTCTTTACTTGTATTTTCGCGTGAAAACAATGCCATATTTCGGTCGATTTTGTTAAAAGGAACTAAAATTATCGACTCAAATCGGTTAATTTTTTAAAATGACTGACCGAATTCGGTAGATTTTCTAATTTATTTTAAATAAAAAATCAATCGAAGTTGGTCTGTTTCATGAAAAGTAAAATTTTTGGGATGCAAAAATAGTTTTTCGCATTTTGCATGTACCAAAAAAAAAATTGAATTCAGAAAATAATAATTGAAAAAGAAAATCTTTTGAAAAATCAATAGAATCAGTCATTTTTTAGCGACCGAAATCGATCGGTCGGGGCGCAGTCGAAAAAATCGAATATTTAGTAGTGAATGTGAATAAGTTTTTAATTACTACTTATGTTTGCCTGTACGTTAAGATTTATTATATAGTATATATAATCTCTCCTGCTATCGAAGTGCGTAATTTTACTTGCGTTCAATCACAAAAATATTCTTCTTTTTCTTTTCTTCCCTGTGGACCAATCCACAGTTTGAAATAATAAAGGAAAAATGCTTTGAATCTTCATATACCGTTTCTAAGCTGTTGACGATCAATTCCAAGCAGCTTCGACCTATTGTCCTCCGTCAGTCCGTCAGACAGTTGCGCGCACGCCCACTTGCCCTAATTAAGAAAGTTATTACTAATGAAATAAAAGAGAGAGAAGACACAACTATATTCTTTCTTTTTTCTTTATGTGTCTTCTACTAGCGTTCAATGTATCTCTATCAATACAGCTTGTCCGTACGCGTATCCATCTAACTAACAACAATCTAGGTTTCTCCCTCATATATTCTTAGCTTTGAATAATTTATAATTCCATATATATGACATATCGTTTAACAAAAACGAAATTTAAGTTGGGGTATTGAGGAAGGACCAATGAGAGGGGATAAAGTAGATCACTAGCTAACTATGGTACTCCATCTCTTTCAATTTAGATGACATATTTCGCTTATCGAGAGCACTTAAACTGCTTGAAATTTGACCAATATTTTAGAATATATTTTGTTATCATATTAACATGAGAAAAATTATAAGTTATAGTACTTTTTGTTTAATTTTTGTATATCTAAATTTTAATTTGAAAATGCTAAGTTGAACTAATTTAATTTATGTTCAAAATTTGGTCAAATTGACTTTGGATAAACGAAATGTGTCATCTAAATTGAAACATAAAGAGTATATTTTACTCCTTCCCTTCATTTTTAGTTGTCCACTTTTAACTTTACATTTTCTTTAAAAAAAATATAAAGTAGGCATTTTATAATTTTACCCATAATATGCATTTTATAATTTTACCCATAATAATGATAGCATTTCCAAAAGTCTTGGAAAATGATTTGGGGAATAAATAGTTAATGATTAGGGGAAAACATGAAAAATGAATTGTTTTCTCTCGATTTAATATAATAGACAAGTAAAAATATATTTTTAGTATACTGGACGAGTAAAAATGAACGGCGAGACTATCTAATATCAGCACAAACAAAATGGAGGATTTATATAACTGCGAGCCTTGTGCTAAAATTCCCCAATTGCATTCATGAAATGTAACGTTTTACCCTTGTTTGATGCTCTCCTTTCCCTTTCCCTTTCATTCCGTTTCCATGTTGAGCGTGTGAATAAAACCCCACATTAAAAATTAATAAGAAATACAATTAAGTTATATATCTCAGCCAAGCGTCTTTGGATTGAGTTAGGCAACAAACTGGTATCATACTGATGGTTCGATGAGAGAGAGTATGAAGACGAAGGATAGTAGCTCTCGTGTTGAAAGCTAATGAAGAGCTAAAAACGAGCTAGTTGTTAATTCTGCCTTCTCTCTAGTTTTTAATTATGCACATATAAAAAGAAGTTTGTAGGTTTTGGTAGTCATAAATACTCAGGACAATGTAAATAACACACAATGAATCTCCAGATACTCTTAATGGTCCAAGATATTTTAAAAAATAATATGCAAGTTTGACTCAAACAAATCAGTATCACACGAACTTTAAGAGTATTTTTAGAATGACTTAGCTAAGAAAATAAAAAATAACGACAACTCAATTTAAAAAGTTGCTGGTAATGAGTGTACATACAATTTGAACGAATTTATAATTACTTGTGTTATTTTTCACTAATCTCATATAAAAAGAGTTATATAACTAAAATAATATTTATGCTAAATTACACACCAAAACTCCCATAGAACTGTTGTGTGATACACACAATTTAAATGTGTGGTCATGTTAATTGCGTCTGGTCCCACTCTCTTGAAATGAAAAGCGAAAATTGTGCCATATATGCGCAACTTGAACGAAGTTTTATGTTAAATGTCTATGATTATATTTTCAATTCATGAACTAAAATTATACTCCATTAGACTAATTATTAATAAAAAGTTAAATAATCAAGAATAACATGAACAATCGAGTATTCCCATTTGCAACTTGTTGAATTTTAAATAATGAAAATATTTTGAACAAGAAAGTGGGACAAAGAGATGACAACTGGCAAGTTAGAATATAGAGAGAAATAAGAAAAAGACAACCAACCACAACTCCCATAAGTCCAAGTCCAGACTCTATATATTTCCTCCTCTTTCTAAAACACACACACATACACAGTTAATACACACATTCTTTGCTAATTCTATACCAATTTCTCTTCACTGTATAGCCGGCACAATGAAATTCCGATCTTGGCTTGCAACTTGCTCCTCCTCCGTCACCACTGCCGACGACCAGCCTATTCCACCACCAAAACTCCCATTCTCCGACGATGCAAGCAGCTTATTTTCCGACATAACCAACAGTTCACCTATATCAGTAATTTCTCAAGAAACAAACAATTCCCTTAGTAGTTTACAAAGCAACCTCTCCCTTTTAACCTTACCTTCTGTCCCTTCTCTCCAAAATCTCTCTCCCGGTACCTTAAACCTCGTAATCTCAGCTCGCTGCCTCAATTCTCTTAATCCCCGAAACGCCCTTGTCACTTTCCTAGCTGTCCACAACAATCTCCTTTACGCTGCTTCCTCCAATGAAATCAACGTCTTTGAACTCACGAATTTCACGCTTATCGATACTTTCAATGGCAAAGACCCTTCAAGCGGCTCGATAAAATCAGTGGCTTTTCTTAATGGTAAAATTTTCACAGCCCATCAGGACTGTAAAATCCGGGTGTGGAAACAGACACCAGTTAAGCAGCATAAACTAATTGCGATACTCCCAACACTTGAAGACCGGTTACGCAGATTCGTTTTCCCTAGCAGCTATACAAATGTAAGAAGACATAAGAAGAAGCTATGGATCGAACATCACGATGCTGTTTCTGGATTAGCAGTAAATGAAAATTTAATGTGCTCTATTTCGTGGGATAGGTCTTTGAAAATTTGGAGCGGGTCAGATTTACGGTGCAGTGAATCAATTAGAGCACATGATGATGCCATAAACGCTGTTGTGGTAGGTAAAGATGGGACTATTTTTACAGGTTCTGCTGATAAACGGATTCGAGTTTGGGGTAAACCAAAAGGGGAGAAAAAATCAAAATCAAAACATGGGCTGATTGCTACATTAGAAAAACATAAATCGGCGGTGAATGCATTAGCATTAAGCTCTGATTGTTCTGTTCTATTTTCGGGCGCTTGTGATCGGTCGATATTGGTATGGGAAAGGGAAGACAGTGCTAATTACATGGTGGTTACTGGTGCATTGAGAGGTCATACGAAAGCGATATTATGTTTGATCAACGTATCTGATTTGTTGTTCAGTGGATCGGCGGATCGGACGGTAAGGATTTGGACACGTGGGATTGAAGGACAGTTCTGTTGTTTAACGGTTCTGGATGGTCATCGGACACCGGTGAGGTCATTGGTGGCGGCGGCGGAAACCAGTGAATCTGACGGTGGTTCTGTGAAGTTGTTTAGTGGAAGCTTTGACGGAGAAATTAAAGTGTGGCAAATTGGGGTTTCTAGTTCAAGTGGCAGTCCTTTGAAATCATAATATTTGTATTTTTTTTAATATGTAAAAAAGAAAAAGAAGTTTCCCATACTAACAAGTTATAGATCTCTTGTTCCTTGAAAATATAGAATTTTGGTCTGTTATTTTGTGCATCTTTTTCTGAGTCATTTGGGAATGGCTAACTAGGAATTTCAATACTTATTAAGAATGGTCAAGAAACTTATTTTGGGCAAATGTTCAAGGCTTTTAAATCTTGAGTGTTTTTGTATATAGTATTTTATTTTCCATTTTATACAATATTTGACAAATTTATCATCTATCAATTTTTATATCAATGTTCAATAATCTCTGGTCTTATACAGTAGCTGAATTATCCAATAATGCAAATTAATATCTGTCTTCATTTATTTTGATAACTTATATATATATATTGAGAGTGTAAGAAATTTTTATACGGTTTATATATGTTAAAATGTTTAGCAGATTATTAATCTTACTTTTTGTTTACACGTAAAATGGTACAGTTAAATTTATACGTGATTTCTAGACAAGTGAATTAATTCAATTCTGAAATAGTAAAAGAAGTGAAGAACTACGCAATATTTAACCTTGAGATGAAGATGAAATAGCATAAACAGTAATTGCGGGAGCAAGGCTTCCGGGCACAACAGTAACGAAATCACAAAGAAGTTAAAATTGTATAGAGCTTGAATAGATTATAGCATAAGTTTGTCAGAAAATTCGTATCATTTACAATGATAACATGGCTCACTGTTCATAGTTGCACATAGGGAATAAGGTCCTAGGATCATGCCCCTCTTTAATGTCAATTATGAGGGCCATTGAAAAATGTGAACGGTGAGCATAAATGACAAATTCTTTGTAACGGCCAGTGTATTAAATGCTATAGAATATTTTTTTTCATTAAATGCTACCGGGTGACAGACATTTATCGCATTTTTATGAGGATTATTTTTTTGGTAACAGATGAAACAATCGATCTTAGCTATCCTCTGCCTTGGATTCCACGTATCACCCTCTTATGCAATTACTTAATATAATATATTTTACCCTATATACTTTTTACGGGTATACTAATTTAAGTGATTTGATATATGATAGTGCATCTTTTTAGGCGACAATGTTATAGAAGCTAAATTATGAAGAAAAAAAAAAGATTGAGTAAAGGTAACATCCTTTCACAATTATCTGAATTTCGAAGGATAAAATTCTTGGCACAATTATAGTGGCAACATGGCTCAACTATCCTACGATGTAATTAGTTGTCATGATGATAATTCCAATAGAATGATCATGATAACTGTAAATAATAATAGTAACTTATGGCTTGGTTCTAGAACTACGACTTGTAATAGGGAGCTAGTTAGGTCCCAACTTTCTGTACGTCTAATTAGTAATATATGTTATCTTTCTGACAAAAAATAAAAGAAAAAATATATGAGAAGTTAGAGGAACGCTGAGATAAATTTGAACGATGAAATGGAAAAGAAAAAGTGAAACAAAAATTTGGGTAATTGAATAATCGCCATGTACAAAGTGACAAATGATCGATGTTTCTGTAATTGAGATGAGGTAAATGCTTTACGAGAATGCATGTGAGTAATCACGTGAAGATGATTGATTAATTTCATTGTTATAACCCTAATTATATTTTAGTCCTCATTTTACCTTTTCAATCGGATAAACCAAGAACATAAAGACAAATGAACCTTTTATAAACCCAAAATTAATTAGCTGGCCTTTCGCCTTTTCAAACGATCTCTTAGTATAACTATATTTAGCTATGTCTTTTCCTTAACTTGGTATATGTCGCATACTAATTAGTACTAATAAAATACTAATTCTTGTCAGTCTAGGCTCCTGGTTTGTCAGATGTAAGCATAGCAGCAGCATCAATATAAAAAGTCAAAAATCGGAATTTTGCCGACAATTCGTTCTTGAGGAATAAGGTTTACTTGATTTACACACAAATGTCTACCGAATTCAAGTTGGTCACTAACACAATGCAAATATAATTAAAGAATTAAACCTTGTTAAATGTGTGTATAAATGCATTAGTCAAAAGTCTAAGCTTTTGCAACAAAAAGAAATAAAGTAAAAGAAGAAAATATGAAAGCTCTAAAAGAAGAAAATATGAAATCTCTTTACAGCTCGAATATATTTTTTATTAATTCAATCGCCACGACTTAACTACGGAGTACAATTTTGACGGCTATGTAATGTAATGATTATTTTGATCTAAAGTGAAGGTGCAACTTGTATATAGTTTGTTCATACAGTGTTCAACGAGTGTGCGTTGTATTATAAATTCAAAGAGGTTTTCAGTCAACTTCATAATATTACTGCTGCTTATATCTTTCCGTTTAGCGAAAAGTTAACCTTAATTCATAAAACTAACTGGTACTCGTGCATTTAAATTTAATTTTTTTATATTTCTTGAGATGGAGTTAATATAATTGAGGATTTAATTCTAAAAATGTTCGTTCTACAATCATGCATGCAGAAGTTACACTAAAACTATTTTCTAGCGTTTGTGCTATCTTGATATGTCTTTAGACTGTTGTTTTACTCCATCAGTAAAACAAAAAAATGAGTCATATTAATATACTTAATGTGGTCCGATTATTATTATTTACACGGAGCAGACACTGTGCCTGTACATATGCATATATTTGTATTGGTAAAATCCAGCTTTGGCATGTGAATAGTTTACATGATGACACGATGTTGTTTGGAATAGGTTTATCTCGGGTATACACGAACAATGGAACTTTGGCCCCATGAGAAATATTTTCGACCCGATAACTCTTTTCCGGGAAGACGAGAGCAATGTCGCGGTGAAGCACTCCAAAGATGATTCTGTCATCTTACTTGGTCTTCAACCATCTTCGAGATATTCAAGATTCATTCATACCCCCTACGTCTAATACTTATCTCACAACCAACGAGTATTTTGGCGGTGGCTAACCATCCAGAGCCCGCGACAGAGGCAGAATTATCGCTAAGGGATTAAAAAAAATAGAAAAGCTAAAAAGATTGTAGCTAATGGAAATAGAAGCAATGACCTTACAAAGGTTTTGAACCCCCTTGACCATTATATATGCTATGCTTTTGGTTTGTGTCAAGGGGATTCAAAACATAATATATAGAAATAAAAAATAAATTTTGCCTAACATATACAATATAATTTTTGAGCGAAGGAGGTTCAGGTGGACACCCTTCTGTTCCCCTAATCCGCCCCTGCCCTGAGCGACGAACGGAAGTGGGACTAGGCATATTAACTTTCACTTAGCTATAAATACCCCTACTTCCCTCACTTGTAATTCATTCAGATTCTACTCAACTTACCCATTACTAAAAGTTATTGTATTTCATTTTTGTTAAGTTGGGTAATCGATCTTTACTTTGTAGCATTGTGGCTCATAAAAAAGCTCAATAAAATCATTCTTTCTTTTGTTTGTCTTCTTTGATTGTCTTATTATCGTTCAATTTGGTCTAATCGTATGATTCATTCAACTATTCTGATTTAAACCGATTGCTACTAACCTCATTACATATAAATTCAATAAGTTTATCCTGAAACTATTTTTGAGTTATCCACACAAAAATAGCCTTATAGGAATATAAAAGAAAATTAAATGAAAGAAGCTAGCTTATCGTGCGTGCTTGAAAACGAACAACAGAAACTGCTGTATTACACCAACTATAAGAAGGATAATAATAGTCTGTTTGGTCAAGCTTATTTTTGGTCAAAAGTGCTTTTTTTTTTGTCAAAAACACTTTTGGTCTCAATTTGAGGTGTTTGGCCAAGCTTCTTGAAGAAAAAAAAATGTTTTTGAGGAGAAGCAGAAAAAAGTAGTTTCTCTCCAAAAATACTTTTTTGAGAAGCATTTTTGAGAAAAATACACTTAGTAGTAGTTTTTTAAAGCTTGGTCAAACACTAATTGCTGCACAGAAGTGTTTTTCAAACTAATTAGTCAAACACAAACTATTTCTCACCAAAAGTACTTTTGAGAAAAATACTTTTAAAAAAAAGTACTTCTCAAAATAAGCTGATTTTTGCAGGCCAAACTGGCTATAAGTTCTGCAGTATTCCTGACAATTCTTTTTGTCTCAATCTGTTTTAAGATAAAAATGGGCAGCTCCATTCAATAGAATTTGCAATCTACTTAACAAGGACAAGCACTTCAGCTAGCTACAAAGTTTTCTAGGTACGGATTCCAACAAAGAGTTTGCTTCGTAAATACTATCGAATGCACGAAATAATGACCTTATTTTGCTTTCAAAAGGATTCTATCTAGTCTAGCTAGACACGATGTAACGATCCGTTCGGTCGTTTCATGAGTTATCACTCCGTTTATTTCATTTCTGCTTCTTTATATGTTGTTCAGTGGTATTATGTGGTATCGGGTTGGTTGGTCCGGCTTCAGAATAGTTTTGGAGAGAAATGAGACACTTAGTCTTTTTTGAGTAAGCTTAAGTAGGAAAAGTCAACCGATGTTGACTAATGTGAAAAAGGTCTTAGATGTAAATTTTGATGGTTCGGATAGATTCGTTAGGTAATTTGGGACTTAGGAGCGTGATCGGAATGTATTTTGGTGGTACGTTGTAGATTTAGACTTGAATTGGCGAAATTGGAAATTTGGCATTTTCCGGTGGAAATTTTGATATCGGGGTTGGAATGAAATTTCGGAAATTGAAGTAGGTCAGTAGTGTCATTTGTGACGTGTGTGCAAAATTTCAGGTCATTCGGGTGAGGTTTGATAGACTTTTTGATCGTTTGCGGAATTCGAAAGTTTGGAAATCCTTAGGCTTAACTCCGATGGTCATTTGATGTTTTGATGTTGTTTTGAGTGTTCCGAAGGTTGGAACAAGTTTGAATGATGTTATGGGATGTGTTGGCATGTTTGGTTGAGGTCCCGAGAGCCTCGGGTATGTTTCGGATGCTCAACGGGACATTTTTGGACTTGAGGAGATAGCAGGTTTTCTGGTATTCTGTTGCAGACATTTTGTTCTTCACGATCACATAGAAGAGTCCGCAATCGCGTAGGCTTTGTGGGGCAGAGGTGAAATTTGTTCAATGAGATCGCGAAGGTCAGAACGCGATCGCGGTTGGTTGTGAGGTTATGGTTCGCGAATGCGTGGCCAAGTCGCGTTCGCGTAGAAGAGAAGTAGCTAGTGTAAAGTGGTAAGTGTCAGTCGCGTGGGAGAGGCCGTGATCGCCCACGCG